AAGAAAGAACCACACACACACAATCACCAAATTTGTGTGGGGAGCATCTGGTTAGGAAACGTATTTTGGGGCTTGGTTTTATCAACTTTACAGCCTCTCCGGTTGGCCTTGTTTATAGATCCATTCCCGAAAAATCTGAGAGCATCTGGGGGAGCATAAATTTCGGATACGCACTTTACAACTTGATTGAGTTCCGTTTGCATACGGATCGATATGTTAGGGCTTTATAACGTTTATTAATTTCAGCAGGCATAGGTATGATTTAGACTAACGATTTCATGTTTTTACTTCAGTTTCTACCCAATAACTAAATTGGCCTTAGCTATTTTCATTCTAAATGTATAAGCAGCAATACATTTACATAATTCTCGTTTACAAGTCTGAGATTCCAGCGCCGGATTTCCCCCTTTAAACAGGGTAATTTTCAGCACAACTCTTTTTTGTTATCTCCGTGAACTGTTTGCATAAATCAAAACTCTTTACATTTTCCCCGCCTGCCATTGTGTATACGGTTTCCCATGTGTGCCATTCATTTAGTTGTGCATTCACTTTTTGTCATATTTTTTTTTTGGATGGCCGGAATCATGATTTAGTGCCGCCACTAGCTGGGCTTAATGATGTCAATCGGCGCGTGCTCTGGCTTTAAACTAAGGCCGCATATTTGCCAAGTTTATTTGGTCAGAAAAAACAGAACCCCCTCCTTTTTCCTGTTGCCGGCACACTCATCATAAATGTGAATGAGATACGAGCACAGGAGGCCTGTGAAAGGTAACATGGAAAAGCAATCGCAGGGCGAGGGACGCATATTTCATGACCCATCTCCAAAAAAGGTTCACAAGTGCGCTGATATGCGAGAAGATGGTTGCCAAAAAATTACATGGACCATTGGTCAGCGGCAGCAACAGCAGAAGTGGGCCAACAGCATCATGGCCCGCAGCAACCCTTATACAACAACATGCCAACCCCCCACTGCCCCGCCCACTCTGACGCCCCCATACACACACTCGTATATTCAAAAAGAAACAAAAAAAAACACCTTTGATGTATGTAATTTTGTTACCATTTTTTATGCCTCTCATTCCGATGTTTTGTTTCGTCCACTTTTTGGCCATAATGTACAGCGGTTTTGTGTGTGCGTAAGAACAATTGGGGTCGTATAAGTAGTAAAATAAAACTATTAATGGTTTCCATTTTGCTTACAAATTACTGAAAGGGTTTTAAGATTAAGTCAGATTATTTATAAGAAATAAAGATATTCTTATCTTTTGAAAATAAAGCGAAAAAATATTGAGGTATGCCTTTTTGTAAGTATTGGAAATATTAAAATACAAGTTATTAAGCAAGATTTTATATTTTTTCAACCTCTTTAAATAGTTAAAATAAAATTTCCTCGATTTAGTTAGTGTATTTAAGTCCATGTATCAGTTCATATCAATTTAAATATATTTATATTCCATTTTGTTCCTTAAATCATATGGGGATCACATTTTAAGATCATTATTTTTCCAGTTTAGTCCATTATTTCCATAACTAAGGTCAGTGTGCAAAATCCAGGAAACATTTTTTATTTATTGTTGGTACATATATTTTTATAACACTTTAAGAATGATGGAGCTTTTATAATATCCATGTTTTGAAAACATTACAAAGAGTTTCTAAAAATGTCTTGAATTTTCCTGCGATGTTCTTGGTTATAAGTACATCTACATAAGTATGTACTGCTAATATTTTGACCCCGGCTGTGTGCGTTCGTGTGCGCCCCTCTGCAAGTGTGTGTGACACAGAAAGCCAGTTGTGCGAGGTGCGAAGCTGTGACGTCAGCAGTGCGAGGCACTGGCCATCAAATTGGGTTACCCAAAAAAAAACCAAAAAAAAAAAAATGGACGAGGAAAGGGCGGCAGGATGGTACATTTTTTCAGAGGCTTCTGCCGCCACAAGGGAAATGAGATTTGCGCCTCAGAGAAGCAGCGTGTCAGTTTCAAAAGTGGAGGAAAAAATAAGAATTCGGGAATAGCGAACTGGATTTCAGGTGGAAATACACACAAATACGTATATTCCATGAAAAAGTCCAGATGATTGATTTTATAGTCGGATAGCGTTTGAAATTCATATTCCTTCACAAATTCTTTGGATAACTTTTTGCTATTCGACTCAACTAATTGGCCATCAACTGAAAGAAGAAAGTTTGAAAACTTTGTTGGCCAGAGGAAACTTTAGACTAAGATGAAGTTGTTTATTGACTTTTTCTCACAGATAGGCAGGGAATTTACTAATTGAATTACTGGAAGATTGTCATAGACTAAAGTGGGTGTGCTCTGCCGTCATCGAATAATTATTATAGCAATAGGAAATTTTTTAGCAGGATACGGTCTGTGACCTCCACACCCGAGGAGCAGAAGCTTAATTACATTGAGCTAAATTGTGAAGAGCGCACAGTTCACTTAATAAGTATTTGTCCGGCGACAGCAGGAACGTCGGCGATTGGCACAATTCCCACAAGCTGACAAACTCATCAAAAATTTCACAGCCACTTGGGAAGGCAGAAAAGCGCAAAATTTTTATTGTGTTTTCATTAGAGGCGCGCAAATGGTCAGAGGGATACACCTAAAAAAATTCTAAAAATGTCCCTTAAAACTTTAGGGAAATCCGTTGTATGGTAATACTAGGAAAACTTTTTGAGAATTGATGAATTATTTAATTTATCAAACATTTTTGCGTATTTCCAAAATGTAAAATGGTATTAAGTCCTGTTAATTCAAGAATCCCCATTCATTAATGTTAATAAAGAGCTTAACAATTTGATTTGATTATGTTAAATTATAATAATTATTCAACAATTGATTTTCAAATTGGAAAAAAACATTGCCTTAATGTTCTGTCATTTTTAAAAATTTTAAAAATGGTTCTTAAAATAAAATATGAGGTCTTTTAATTAAAATTTTATTATAAAATCAGTGAAAAATGGAAGGTTACAATAGTTCTGTTTCAGATATAAATAACTGTAGCGACCTGTTGTGTTCTTAACTTGATCGTGATTTTATAGGGCCTTTTTAATAAATAAATAAAGAAATGAAATCCAATTATCTAAGATAAAATCTTTAGCATCATTATGTATAAGGCGTACTTATTTATAGGGCCTTTTTATACATAAATAAAAAAATAAAATAAAAATAAACATAAAACATATCTAAGATCAAATCTTAAGGATCTGTGGTGTAAAGCATACTTATTTTTCAAAAAATATGGTCGAACATGGTTGAAAGTCAGTCCACAGATAACCATTTATGACTTAGAGGACATTTTCCTGAGTGTATCGAGTGGAGGAAAGCAAACCACCATCGCCTAGGACACTTTTAAGGGGCGTGACAGGGTGGGATCTGGACTGGGTGTGGAAACTTTGAACAACTTGGACCAAACACCCAGACACGCGCAAGAAATGTGCAAAAGCAGCCGAGAAGGACGGCGCAAAGGAACCTAATGAACAAATGAACAACGCACAGATAGAGATATGTATCTGCCTTTGCATATATATATATATATATACTGTATACAGATTTACATACAGATGGTCGAACACTTTTTGGGGGGGGCAAAATGGATGGGGGAAATACTTTAATCTCAAGGGCACGTTTCCGGAAATAAATAAATAAAGCTCCACGGCAGAAAGCAAAGCAGGGCAACATTTTGTTATGTTCATAAAGCAGAAACGGAGAAGAAAAGCTCCTCGGCATAGAAACTCTTGACGTAAGCTAGGGAAATGAAATTCTTTAAAATTTTAATGATACAAAATATTTGCACAATGAATTCATCATTTTCCCCACCGACCATTTTCATCATCTTGGAGTTTTGTTTTTGTTGTGGCCAGCACTTGATTTTTAATTAATAATTTAAAAAAGTCCAGTTTGTTGTCTCCTTGACCCGAGGGGAAATAAAACTTCTGCTTGGGTGGCCAACTTGAAATTAAATTCATTTAGAAAAATGAAAACAGAAAAAACATGTGACTATGTACTTGGAATTTACAGTAAGGAAGGGGCATTAAAAATTGTAAACTCAATTTCATAGGTCTGCTATATTGTTGTAAATAAAAGCTAGAAAACAGGTAAATATACATATTATATGTATTTTTCTCCCTATTTTGGTAGTTCAATAAAAGTTTTATCAAAGTAGGAAACGGAAATTTGTTAATTATCCAGGAAGACAATAAAAAACTCAATTTGGTGCGAGTTCCTGCTGAGTTCGTAATTAAAAAGAAAACTTTTTGTTTTGCCAAGTCATCGATAAATCAAAGTGAAACAAGAGCTGAACCCCGGGTTTCTTCTAATTTTCCTTATCCACAGAACCAAATCGCAGCTCGACAGCTGACGACAGCTGATTGATGATCCGCAAAATTACAAATTACACACAAATGTTATCCGGGCCAGGAATTTGGCAGATAAAAATCGCAGTTCCAAACAAAAACACACGCCATCCAATTCACTTAAGGCATTGCACCTTATTTGCTTTCACCCAAATGAATGAAATTGATTGATTATGTTTTACCGACTAAACTGCGGGGGCCGCAATTAAAATGGAGAAACGATAAATGTGGCCATAATGACACAATTTTGAACGTTTGTGGGGGTTTTCATATTTCAAAAAGGCATCCAAAAAGTTCATCACATTGCCTGTAGTCGTGGGAAATTGAACAGCAGTTGCTACGCACATTTCTCCCTATTTTGCCAGGACAAACAGTGAAAATGCTTTTCAAAAATATCAAATTTCCGCTTCCATTAAACGCAGTTTTCGTTGCCTGTCAAAATGTGGTGAAAATGCTCAGAAAATAGACTTGTAAAGGGAAAAGTTTCCAAATGATAAGCATCAAAGAAGCTAGTTATAACAAAACCTCCCGCTTTGAAATATATGTAAATATACAAAAATATATAAATATATATATATATAAAAGAAAATTGTGATATTACTAGAAGTTAAATATCTAAAAACATGCAGGTTATTTTAAACACTTAAAAATTTATTTGCTCCTTGGTAATTAAGTTATGTCACATTAGCCATATCCCCAAGTGTGGGGGTCGATTTCGTAGCGCTTCAAACGCTCGTAGTACTGCCCGAAAAAGAATCCCTCCAACTGATAGATCTTGAACACTCTGTAGAATCCCACATGTGAGAATTTGTTGTTCCACACCCAAATGCAATGGTTGGGCATTAAGGGAATAATCTTATGTCTTCCACGTTGATCGAGGTCGCAGGGCAAATGCATGGTATGCTGGTCAAAGGGCATCGTAACAAGCAGCTCTCTTTTGTCACGTTTAATATGCTTTATAACGGTATTGACTACAGGATTTTCTGGTTGCTCCAACTTTTCCAGAGTCATGAGCTCAGTACTGTTTACCTTCACATCGGTTGCAGTTACATTTAACTTCTTTGCAATAGCAGTGTCATTCTGAGCATCCAATTTGCCAGCTAGCGATCTTGAGTAACCCTTAGACGATATAGACTATGGATTTATTTTAGTTAATAGATCATATGATTAATATAAACAGATTCTTACCAAGACAATAAAAAAGATTAACAGACAATTTATAATCGCCTTCATGATCACAGAAGACTAATTTACCAGATACTAATATTGGTTTTCATGGATTTAGGTTTTTTGTTTTTTTAAATTTTAGGAGTATACTAAAATTTCTGTACAGTCTCCGACGGTTGACAACAAACTCATGGAATACCGATCATATTGGTTTCCTACGTTACTACACTCGCATAGTCCCAGGTATGCGGATCCATTTCGAAACGCCTCAAGCGCTCATGGTACTGACCAAACATAAAGGCCTCCAGCTGATAGGTTTTATAAATGCGATAGTGTTCCTCTGAAACGAATCTGTTGTTGAAGGCCCAAACGCAATTGTTGGGTAATACTGTGACGATCTTCTGGACAGCTCCCAAGTCCACATCGCAAGGTAAATGACTGGTTTGAAAGTCGAATGGCACTGTTGCATCACGTTTTTCACGAATTATATGCCTTATGATCGTCGGACTGGTCGAAATTATTTTTGTAGGTTCTGTCTTTGGTTCAGCTAATTCTGTGGATTTCACCGCTTCATCAGTAAGAGTGCTATTTCTCTGAGTTTTATTCTGATTGACCAAAAGGTCACTTGAAATCTGGGATGAAATCATTTCACTGGGAGGGATGCCTCGGGAATTTCCACACGGAAGCTATAAAAACGTATGTCACTATAGAATCAATCACGCAACACCTTCTTACCAAACACACCAGCGTCATTATCGTCAATATCACTAAATTTAGTTTTAAAATCATGGTTATAAGATAAAATATAAAATTACTATAGTCAATTTAGGATGTTATCCGTGCGATTTGTTTGTGTGCGTTAAAAACTATGTTAGGAAAGTCAAGGCCTGCTAGAAATAAATATATAGAAAACGTGAATTGTAAATGCAGCATGTTATGTCAATATTGCCATTTTTATAGCTTTATAAAACACACATTTTTATTAAATGTTATACGTAAGAACTTGCTACTGAATAGGTTGTTATAAAATATATTCCCCCTTTTATAATGCTTTAGACCTTATTAACCAGAAAAATCTTATTATTTATTCACTGAATCTTGTGCAGGGTTTTCTTTTAACTGAGGGCTTCTAAATATTATTTGAATGGCTCTTGTTACATGTTGTAATCGTAGACATGTGGTTCGAATTCATAACGCTTTAGGCGCTCGTAGTACTGGCCAAAGAAAAATGCTTCCAACTGATAGGTCTTGTAGATGCGAAAGTGTCCCTCGCTCAAGTACCGATTGTTGTAGGCCCAAATGCAATGGTTGGGGAAGGCATGTATATAGCTCTGTCTGCCCCTCGAGTCCATATCACAAGGTGCATGCTTCGTCTGAAAATCCAGGGGCATTTCAGGAACCGGCACTCGAGGACTACGCTGAATATGCCGTATGGTTATCGCCGAAGCCCTTTCAAACTGCCTCTCCGAATCGACTGTTCTGGCAACTATTTCTATCGGCATCTTGTAGGTTTGTTTGTTATGTTATTACCCATTCAACTATTTCAATTTACTTACCAGGACTCCGCAAAAAACAAACAAAAGAATTACATATTTTATTAACTGCATTCTCGATTTTGTAGTGTGTAGTTAGTGTACAGAGTTTGTAAATGATGTGTGGGAGTTATGTGGAAGATTTCTAAAGCAAGGCCCCCTAAAACAAGACATATATATTTCAAGGTATTTAATAGAATTTAGGAAACTGTTTTTTCAAATAAACTGAAACTAAATATATACTAAACTATAAAAATATTATCCACATTTTGCTGAAGGCCTATAGCTGCTATAGCTCATGACCACTGTTAGCATTTAGTTTTCAATTACTAGCATTATATAAATAAATAAATAAATAAATTATCCACATTTTTTTCCAATAAACTAGATTTAAAAACCTAAGATCCATCTCTGGTCAAGAGTTTTGTGCTGTACTGGGCTTAGCTCTCTCTCTCAAACACATTTTAACGTTATGTGTGGAAACTACAAAATCCTTGGAGCGGCATCAACAGCGATGACGGCAAAAGGGAATGGCCAAGCGCTGACAGCTGAAAGGATGTCGGGATATTAGAGAGGGACCGCGCAGGGACTCGCAGCATGTAAAGTGACAGCCAAGTGTCACATAATGGCCAGCGCTGATAATGACCAAGAGTCGATGCCAGATCGATTCATATGGCGATGATATAGGAGCCAAGTCGAGCAGCATTTCAAGTGTGAAAATAATATGACAGCAGTAATCAAGGCGTTGATGGCAGAACTAACCTCTCACACATTCTCCCCATATTGATTTCAAGCTGAAAGGCTGCAGGAAATGGGTAAAAATATCTGGCGGAAATGTTGAACGAAACAGGGTGGATGCTACCAGATGCCAGAGGGAGTTGGGATGGGCTGATTGTTAACACATGTCAGTGGGCCATAATTGCAAGGGGGTAAAATAGTGGAGCGAAGCCAACTTCTAGCTAGAACCCAGGCAAAATGAATGACAATTGTTTTGACACGCATGTTTTGACATTCAGAAAGAGATAGTGATAGGGGCAGGAAGCTAAAACGGTCATAAGCACACAATGAGAGCGAGAGAGAGCATTCGAGGGAGTTCTATTTCGGATATAGAGATAGATATATGTCGCCCACTTGCAACTCAACTTAATTGAATTTGAGAGGCATATTCTGAATTTAATTTATTTAAAAACCGTTTTACTGGACTTCCCTTGTAGCTTGTTGACAAGCAACTCTATTAGGCCAAAGCATCAGGTTGAGACAAGTGTTAAAGATGAAAATACATGGGTTGTGTCTGTACTTTAGATATGAAAATGATTTCAGGATAATATTATTTGTTAATTGAATCAGATACTCCTGGAGTGTAAACCATTATTTTATGGCTTCGTGTGTTGTTTTAAAATATATGTTACCAGTTTCTTAAAATTGAGTTAGTCCGAAATACTTTTTTATCGATTTAAAACAAAAAAATATACGCTTGGAAATAAATTCAATTAAATGTTTTTATTTATTCTAAAGCCAAACGGAACTTTCTGAATTTTGGTTTAAGCACAAATTCTGCTGCCTGTCTGCAGCTGTGGCTTTTGGCTAACCAGGGGCAGACGTTGGCGATGACAGTTAGCCACACCTACTGTCATCTTCCTGGGAACGCTAAATGCCTTAACTGTTAATTTTGCATCCAATTAAGCTCGGCAATTTTCGAGGGTCGAAAAACCGACTTCTGCTTATGACATCTCAGAAGCCACCTTAAACTCGACCTCAAGCTCAAGCCCAAACCCCAAGCTTCTCGAGCATCGCGAACGTTTAGACTGTGAGTGCCGGATACATGGAATGCAAATATTTCCTCAGTGAATTGTGTGTACCTGCTGGAGATGCAATTTCTGGGCAAATGGGACGCTTAATTAAAGCCAAGCACAAGGGGCCTACAGGTTGGTATGAGGGCCTGTCAGTCACTCAAAGGCAGAAGCGAAGGACGCCCGAAAGATTGACGATTGCCGAGGTGCACAGGTAGCTGATGAATGTGCCTGGCTGGCACTTTCCCAATGTTAATTTCCATGGCTATAGCTGTGGTCGAAGAAGTAGCAGTAAAAGTTTTATTTAAATATATAAAAAGGTTTTTTATTTGTATTTTCTTGTGAGTATAGTTGTTTTTTTATTCTTAAATATTTAAAATAATTCCTTTGTCTCAAAATAACAATAAAATTTGGCACTCGAACTCAAATAATATTTCCAAAAATATATGGGCTTTGCCAGCTGTGGAAATTTAATTATGATATTATCTTATACATGGGTCTATTAAACCCTGCTGGTTGCAAGGCCACCTTTGTGCTATAATTTTGAGCACATATGTATATGACAGAAAGGCATTTGGCCAGGATTAAATTCTGTGTTTCGTTGGGGATAAACCACGTTACCGGCCGCAGTTGCATACCGGCGTGGCAATAACTTGTCGCTGTCACTTCTTCCCCTCCTGCATCCCGGTAGCGACTTTAAGCGCATTCCATCTTCGACTTTGCCAATAAAGTGAAATATCCTTCCACAATCTGTTCTTTCCCGGTTGCACCCCACCTCACCATTTCAGTGCTTTATACTCCTTCGTGGCTGCTGTGCTGGCACATATTTTCGCCTGCTGTGCCAGCAAATTTGTTGCAGGACTCCGATGCAACAAAAGCTACAACTGCAGTTGCACTGAGAAAACTATAAAAAATCTTTGAGCAAAAGAATTGGGGGGTATGTATTGATATAGAAAGACAATCATTTCTTTATCTTGGTTTAAGCGCTAGTACATGTACCTCATACTATATAATTATATTATATAAAACCGTATATAGAAACCGTACCATGTTCGATTTTTGTTCGGTGTAGAACTATAACTGCCTCTGAAGCTGTAGCTTTAGCTGAAGCTGCAACTGAATGTGGAGCCACACACAAGCCTGGCATTTCTGTTCCCTTTCTTTACACCAAGTTGTTTTTCATTTTCATTTAGTTTTTCCTTTTTCCCGCTTTTCGCACGAAGCGCCGCGACCCTTTTGTTTATTTGCGCTCTGTCGAATCACAAAAACTGTAGCGCCATCAGTGTTGGTTTGGGGCCAAAGGGTTGGATAAATGATGTGAAAGGGGGAATGGCAGGAAAACTGGATGTGGGCACCTTTCACAAAGGCGAAGGCAGAAACGTTGCGACGAGCTAAAGCGCAGCTAACAAAATGTTTATATGCCATAGGGCCTCAGCCAGAGATGGGAAGATACTATTATTCATAGCTAGGGTACAAAAAAAGATGCCTACTACGTAGGTAGTATGTAAATGCGTGTTCAGGACATCATCAACTTCATACAGGAACATACTTTAAGACGTATCTTACTGAATTAAATACCCTTAAACTTTATTTAAACATTTATTATCACCAATAAGATTCCACTGTACCTAAGTAAGACAAAAAGTACCTTGTTATGACAGAAGATAAAACTGAAGTTCCCTCAACTCAAAGGGGCGGAATCGGTTGGTTGAAAGGGTGGTGCCGCTGGCTTACTGCTCACGTATGTGCAGTTATAAATTGCAGTTCGTGCACCACGTTTGCCCGGTTACAAAGATGCAGGGGAAGATCCACTGCGTCCACAAAGAAAAGGTGGCTCCATGGATTTAGCACTGCGTGTTTTTGTTAGTGGCGCTTTAGTCGAAAGCCAAAGGGGTTAAAAAGGGAGTGTACAAGTTATGCAAGAGGGGCGAACAAAATGTTTTAGTAATAGAATTATGGAAAATAGCAAAAGCTTGGCCATAATTAAATAGTTCAGCAGCCACAAATGAAAACTTTGCTAACAACGAAACTATGCCAAATTATACTCAATTGAAAATGGCTAAATGTCGTATTAAATTGCTCAATTATACATTTTGCGGCAGTAAGGGTTTCAGTCGATAATTGCAACAATAAAATGCACCCAACAACGAGAGGAAAAAAAAATAAATTGATATAAGATTAAAGTGCAATAATAACACGCAAATAAAAATAAAAAAATATCCCAATGGAATGGTTGCTGGCATTGGTGGTCCGGTAAAAGGGGCATCGAGTTCAGTTGCATTAATTTGCATTGAAAATGCGGCAACGAGTCGAAGCTTAAATAATTGCACAAAAGGGGTTTCATTTAAATGGGGATGAACATGGGATATCGAGAGCCCAGACAGACGGGCCCAATACAGAACACAGAATCGGGGCAATACAGAATCTAGTCCAATGCAAATGGGGAATTATTGGCAAGCATTATTTACTTATGCATTAAAAGCGATTTTCAACTTTATTTAACCCCAATTTTGATACTTGCGTGTTGTGTTACACAACATGTTGCCGCTTGGCTTCATTTGATCTCGGTTGATTTGTAAATTGTAAAACAGAAAATTCCCTGATTATTTTGCTTATCCGCTGTGGTATTAATATAATGAGAGAATATATTACGTTTACAGATGGGTTTCAATGTTTTCAATTCAATTCTAGACTTTGAAATTCGAAATTGGTCATGTTGATTTAACAAATTGTGAAGAGTGAGAAGCGGATATTTTTATTTTAACAATATTTTCTTCCAAGAACAAGCACAAAAGCTGGTAAATTAGTTGTGCAAATGCGCAGAGCATTCATATTTCTCGCACCTGAGAGGCTTAGTCATTTAATTAGCGCTTCAGTGAAATGGAGCTATCTCACTATGAATGGCTTTTCCCGCCATCTGAATTTTCCCATGGAAGTGTGCAATTAGGGGCGTCAATTGTGGTCAGCGTTCGCGTGGAGCCAGATCGCGTTCCATCAACTTGACCATGGCAACTTGTCAGCGGTTCCGTCGCATCACCCACATCGTCCTTTTCGTCCTCGATGCTGTCACATTCGTGTGACAAATGTGCACTTGGCTTAATCAGATGGAATATGCCCTTGCCGAGAGGGTATAATCACTTTCAGTATCTGCTTTGTGCTCTAGATGGGCAGCTTTTTTTTCCTAGAGTAATTCCCTTTTACTCTTGGCGCAGAATCGCGACTCTTGCCTCTAATTAGTAGCCTTTTTTTTGTGTTAGCCAGTCCTCCACTTTATCCTGGAAATGTTTTTTGAGCGCGGGATTGATGGTGATTCATTTTTTATGCACGAAGCTGTCTGTCTCCTGCAATGTGATCCCGACAAATGAACGGGGGACCAGTGGGTTCTGGTTCTTGGCGATTTTTCCAAAAGGGGGTTTGCATTAATTAGCTGAAACCGAAAGCTTGTTATTTCTAGCTGATGCTGCTCAAATCGCACAAAAGGCCATTAAATGTTGTCGGCTTTGGCAAAAACAAGTTTGACACGTAAATTGGATTCGTTTTTTGTGCTGATATATGCATTTCCAATTGTATTTATTCACATATACATTTTATATTTATAAAGTCTATATGCATAACCGATGCGGTTGTAACAATATTGGCTAAAATTGCAACGGGAGCAAGCGAATTGAGAATACTATAGTGTGAAAATTGTTTTCCACCTTCGATAGCTGGGAATTACCATATTTTCACAGCAAACGAGAAAGAGAATGCGGCACGTGAGACGCCTAGGGGGGCAGAAATGCAATTTTTACTCCGCATTTTGGGTTACTTTGCAGCCAAAGCTCGGAAAGATGCTAAAAATTGCAACGGAATTGCAAATGCTGTTGACACTTGCACAATGCAAACAATTGCCCCAGCTATCAGCTTTTTCTACACTCTCCTTCTTTTACCCTGTCATACAATTTTCTCCCTCCTTTTTGGGGATTCGAAAGTTTTGAGTTTGGGTTTCCCAGGCAATTTTCATGTTTACGTAGGTTTTGGCAACACTTGATTGCCTTTTGGGCTTTGCCCAAGGAAAACGGAACACTGGATAGATGCCAGGAAGTTTTCCCACCTTATCCTAATAATTTCTGTCGCCTTTTCAATAATACTGGGAATAGATTTGCGTTTCAAACCAATTTTGAAAAGAGAATTTATATTATTTAGATTAGATTTAATGGGGAAAAAGTTAAGGGTGCGCTCGAGTAATAAAAGTATGATCCCATGAGTGTTGGGTACACGTTTTCCTACCTGTTCCCTGGTGTTTGCCAATATTTTTATCGTCTTTCCCTAAGCATGGGATATGAGTATGGAAACCGGATGTGAATTAAGTCAAGCACAAACTCTTAAGCATCTCTCCATATCCGATTTTTCCCGTTTGTGTTTGTGCAGCATCTGCAGCTAGTACCCTCCACATGCGATTGGCTTGCAGGCTGCGGCTCATAAATCATATTTGTATTTGGATCTCGTTCACCATTCCCCGCCCCAATTTCCTCTGGGTTTTTACCCGCAGCGACGACAACATTCAATCAAAATGCTGCAAAATCCCACAAATTTGTTATTCGTCACGTATCCGAAAAGGAAAGTTGAATGTGTGTAACTGAGTTTTTTATTTTATTTTTTTATGCATAGAATGTATGTGGTATTACATGGACGTCGAGTCAAAAGGCATTTACGAAAAGAGTTTAAAGCCAGGCGCGGGCATTTAAAGCGGGGTAATATGTAAATATGGCCATAGAAGAATATATGCATTACCCATTCCGCGTCCACAAGGACACCCTGCGAAGCCAACATATGCCGTACATTTGCCAGAAAGACAACTTATCAAGTTTACACTCAACTGAATATTTAGAGTCGCTGTTGAGTGGAGTTTCCCCCATTTCATTCGGGTTTCTCGCACTTCCCTTCAGCGCGATGCTTATTAAATATTAAAATGATAAGGAAAAGGCAAAGGAAGGGTCTTGTTTTTTTGGTTTTCGGTGTGTATGCATTGGGGTCTGTGTTCGCCTGTGCTCATGTCTATCATTTGCTCTTGCCTGATTTTTTTTGGCTAAGAGGATTTGGGCTGAAATCTGGAAAATAAACCAAAACTGTCATAGAGCACTGAGTGCTATTAGTCGGGTTTTAGCCCCAATGTAGTTATTCCCGATTCATTAGCTAATGCTTTACCCATTTGTGCAAAAAAAATGTTTATCGGAATAGCGAGACAAATTTACTTTAACTCATTTTGTTAAAAAAAATTGTAAATACCAAAAGAAAAACATTAAAGTGTACACTTCTTTTTTATAATTTATTTACTATCCTCATAAACTAAACCAGTATTTGGTTGATGGACCGCATGGCCTGTATACTTTTTCTAGTGTATTTTTTGATTGCCGCTTAAATCTATGGTAAACGCTCTTTTCAAGGGATTTTAGTTTCCTACTTAAGCCATTAATCGCAGTATCATTACTCTATCCCCTTCATATGCTAATATCCCCATTCATATTTACCATGTCGCAATCATTTTGTGCGTTGTTCTTTTTCTCCATTCTGCTTTTTTGTGTGTTGTTTTGTGGCATTTCTCTGGCCCTGATTGCAAGCATTTGCATAATTTAAGAAGCTTCCCGTCTGCGTTCTTTTCCTGAGCTGGCAAAGCATGAAAATGAAAATTCCCAGCCGTCGCCCTCCGTCTTGCTGAGCAGAAATTATCATATCTTTTGAAGCTCTGTTGTAAATTATTAACGAAATAAATAGCAAAGGCGCAGCCGAGCGCCAAGGGAATATTGAAAAAGTTTCGTATCTCCATTTAACATTTTTTTTTCGTATTCCATATTGCCATTACAGGATCAGATTCGGGATCAGGAGAAGGAGCAGGAGGAGGAGGAGCTGTGAGCAGGGATCGGCGGCCAAGCAACGACAATCGGGGGCATGTCCACAGCCAAAAGGCTGGTGCTCTCGCTACGTGGACGCAAGAATTCGCAGGGCAACTCGGCGACCTCATCCACCCGCCTGGTATCCGCCGGCACCTCGCCCGGCCATGAGCTGGATGAAATAGCCGTGGTCTCGGGAACCGGATCCAGCAGTCACCACTTCTCCTATGGCGGCTGCCTCGCCACCGGCGATGCGCCTCTGCCGCGCTACTCAACAGGTGAGTGCCTCCCTCCCACCCATTTCCACCCATTCCCACCCATCCACCCCTCCACTCCTCAGTTCGCCAACCCTTCAACTTACCAACTCCGACCTCTAAATGCGAGAATCTAGCACCTGAACTGCAGTTAAGTAAAGTCACCAAAACGTAGACCCACCACCAGTTACCAAACACCACCACCACCTGCAACACTTCTGTGACCTTTGTGAAACCCCCAAATGAACCCCTGCCCCCCGCATGCCGTTAGAAGTGTTCTATTCATCTCATCTACACTGAGGGCAAAAAGGGTTAGATTGTACTACCAAGGACTATAAAATATATCAGTCTATATTATATTTGCTACTACTACCTAATAACTAGACTTAGTAAACAATAATGTGTTTTCTACACATACAAAACGAACCTTTTGGATTATGAACTATGTGCAAATTTTAAATCAGGCTTAAAAATATATATTTACATTTGATTTATAATAAATTGAAATACTTGAATGGTTTAAATTCAACGCATTAGCTCTTTAAACGGTTTTTAATTTAAATAAGTATTGTTTTCAAGTCCTTGATAGGCAAGCAAATACAAATCCTATAATTCTTATAATTCTAATTTTAAAATTAGGAAAAAGATAATTTTTTGCATACTTTAGTTGGACATAGCCTTAATATTCGTATTAAATATAATAGGATTTATTCTATTTATCGTCGCACATTAAACGTGACTATCAATGCTTTTCCGAGGCTGCAAATAGAAACATGCTAACCACATTTCTCTGAACTTTAGCACTTTATGCTTTAAATAAAACTGTATTTTAAATGTAGGTATATATTAAATTTGTTTTTTGTGCACTTATTGGCTTTTTAAGCATTGTTCAATATTTGGTTTAGATAAATACAGAAAATGTAGAGAGCTAGTTTAAAATTGTTAGGGACTTTAGCTGATATATGATATTTATTTAGTCTTATGACTTTTAGGTGATATTTGTTAGAAATTCAAAGTATTTTGATGGGATCTTATTGGATTCTAGCTGGTTAGCAAAGGCTTCCTTCGATCCAACCAGGCTTACAACTTAATGTAGACTTAGTGCTTGGGCCCTGCTAAATTATGGAAATCTGGGGCCTAATGAAAGCGATGAAGATTTGATTTGACAAAAGCGCCTTAGCAGAAGGCCCGGCCCAAACAAAGACAAACAAATAACAAGCCATCTTGGCCAACGAAATGGCAGCTGTTGTTGGCCCTGCAGAATAAATCAATCAAATGACAAATATGCTTAGGCAATTGTCAGGCCAAGTGGCAGAGCTGCCTGGGTTCTGGCCTAATTTCCTTCCTTCAGAGGCTGCGGTCGCCAGTTGGCAGATTTGTGTGCTTGTGTTGTTTTAGCCAAAGCCACATGAGCGACGAGTCCTTCGTTAGTTTCCTTGTCACATTTTATAGGCCGCAGCACATGTGTGGCAAGCGTTTTTCCCCCCTGGCTTACAGTTAATTTTGAGTGAAATTCAATTTATCATTGACCGGGGCATAAATCCGCATTTGGGCCACTTTGGCTCGTTACGGATAGAGGATTCGCAACTTGGATTTATTTCGGTCGCCTCTGTTTGCTAGTCGCATTCAGACTTTTCCCACGACATTAGCAAAGTGCCTTCAATTTGTCAGCGATGAAACTTAGCACTGTTTTTGCCATGCATTTAATGGCACTTGTTGTTGTGCAGCACATCGGGCATTTAGTGGAAGTTCTCTTGTTTATTGCCCTGAAATGTAATCGACATTTATCGCCTATTCTATGGACTTGGCTTTAATATCCACCCACGCTTTAACGCCTTCGTGGAGTGGAGTGGGGAAAAAGGAGACTACATAGTATGTAGAGTGAGCCCAACCGAAGAGTACAACGAAAAACAAGAAAGAACGCTATAGTCGACGGTTTAGACTGTTAGATACCCGGTACTAAGTTAAAAAAAGTGCGAGAGAGATGGATATATGCATGCAGAAAATCTGCTGCTTTCGATATGCCACACTTTATTTGCTTATAACTGTTTAAACAATTTTTGGCATGTAGATGTATTGATAATCAGAAGAAAATCTCAAATGTGGGTGCTAGACAGGTTTTAGTGTGGGCTGCGCAAGAACCTCAAGAATCTGCATGCCAAGTCCCAACTTTCTAGCTATTATATGTAGTTAACGAGATCTCAGCGTTCTTACGAAGTTCGACTAGACTAGTGAGCCTGATTAAAAATATATATATATACCTTATAGATTCGGAAACGCTTCCTTTTACCTGTTACATACTTTCCGAAGAATCTAGTACACCCTCTTACTCTTCGATTAATAGGTATAAAAACATGAGCATCAAAAGTTTTCTGCAACTTTTGCCATATTTTTCCACAGCCCCCAAATGCTTTCGACAATTTTTAGTACATTGCCCTGGCCCACCCCTGAACTGTACATACGTATATATTTTTATGTGTGACAAAGGCAATTTTCAGCACAGCTTTGATCAAAGTTTCGGGGCCCTGGCATCAGTAAATTAAATTTGACTTACACACGAAATTCGGCATAAAATAGAACGAGCGAGTAAATAAATCTATAGCATACATTTTGGCTATATGTCATTGGCAAACACGAGCTACGCTTAAATCGATATGCGCAGCTCCCAAAAAGCTTAGAAAATTCAATTTGCCAGAACAATTTGTTCGCCTACTTTTGCGGGCAAATCGATCAATGGAGCTGCATAGCATTTATGTATCTATTAGATGGCCAGCTAAAACGTTTTTCATATTCAACTCCATCTGCTCTGTGGTGTGTGTGTGTGTGTGTGTTTGAGTATTTCTGATTTTTGCCGAGGAATGCCTTTGTTCGGGTCACGTTTAACTGGAAAAAAAGCCAAAGGATATGGCCATCAACAGTGGCCAGACTACCAGGGCTCTTTGTTTCTCTATTGTCTCTTGTTTTGTATCCTGCAATAATTGAGCTTAGAGGGTCTTATGGCAGCTGCATCATTGATTTGCCACCCCACCCAGTCTCCCGGGGGTCAGAACACCCCCTTAGACCCCCCCCCCCCTTTTTTTTTATTCCCACCACCTCACCCCTGTCCAAGTTTTCGCAAAACTTTCTCGTTTCGTTTTTCTTTCCATTTTATTTCGTTGGATTTTTGCTTTTAGACCAAACTCAAACCCGAAAAAGACTTCACTGCCAGACATAGTTGAGTCGCAGCAAAACTTTTTCCATTTGCCAACAGAGCTCACTTTTAGAGCGAGCGAGTGGTTGCGGGTATACGACAATTTTAAAGTATACCGCTCGCACTTGCACCAGGGAAAATTGCGCATGTATAATTAGTTTTATTTACCACCTGGCACACAAATTTTAATTAGAATTTATGCGCCCATCTCCAGTGGCCACCGCCCACCGCCCACTCCCCCTGCTAATCCTTTGGCCACCGCTGATGCCTTTGCTGCACCACCTCCTTTGTCTTCTAAGTCGTCGTCTTTGGCAGTAAGGAATTTCCTGCTGGCCAAGCGATTAAACTTTGGCTAAACCACTGAGCACTGAGCAAATATCGGTATTGAAAGTTAGAAAAAAAATAGAAAAGTTAGGTATGCCGATGTTTATATACCCTTGAAGATAAAACCATATCATGCTGCTAATGTAGTGATAGGTATATATCAGAAACCGTATTAACCATAAATCCGATAGATCCTATGACTATCACTATATCACGGTATGGCAGACATTACCTCAAGTTACATGAACTTGTATCTGATTTCCTTTTTTCCTGATTTTCCTATATCATTTAGTCATAACCTATCATAAAATTTAATTCGTAATTCTGATACATTAAATAAAAATTCTATATCTCAGAGGATGACAGAATATGACATAAAAGTCGATAATGTTTCCCTCCTTGGGTTTATAATTTCTGGATAATATTATAACATGAGTACAAAATGATATGTGTAAAATTTTTCTTTTTTGATAAACCAGGTTTTATAAAAATATTTCCTGTCCTTTTGAATTTAATTAAAGTGCCTTTTTATTTTATTCAACATTTAATGTGGATATTAACTTATAAACTTATTATGGTTAAAATTGGCTCAACTTTTAAAAGTTCCCCATCGACTCAACTATAACTGTGTACTGTAATAATAATATAAGGAAACCTTTTCTTCTTCTTAAAGTATCGAGTATAAGGTATACATATTTAAAAACTTTTATTTTGCCGGGTGTATCAGTTTTTCACCCAGCTGAACTGTAGTTGCTGGTCATATGTAATTCGAGCATTTCAATTATAAAAGCAATTTGCCAGGGGATGGCAGAGTTTCGATTACGATACGAGTTTTAGCTTACCAATTACCTAGCTAAGATACAAAGTTGTTGGCTCAAGATATCAAGAGAGAGGGGTATAAATATCTATACCATATCCCATAAACTATTCATCCGGCAGCGGAGTGTGTCTCAAATTTGGCAGCACGGGGAATGCAAAAATAGTTGCCGGCCCTTCAGGATGCCACAGTGTTGCGGGACTTGGCTTGCCATTTTAATTGCCACGTTGCGTATACGCCACGTTGAGTTGTCCACATTGTTGCCGCGAAGTGCTGGGGGATAACTTTAGCAGCGGCGACTGCGTGCAACACAAAGGGCCACTTAAAGTTGGCACAGAGGCGCCCTTACAAAAGGGGATTTGCTTTGAACGGAACGAGAATGCGAATGAGATGGTTGGAAGGGGCAGAGCAGAGTGGGCTTAAAGGTCGGCGCCAATGTTGTAGTCCGTAATGCAATTACAAATGCAGGTGGAGCAGCATCAGCTGGAGCGGCATTAGTTGGCAACCAGCCAGGTGTCATCCAAAGGGCGCTCGACTTGGCCAGTGGATTCCCACTCCAATCCGCCTTTCGCTCATCTGAAATGGTTGACTTATCAACTAAAGTGCCGCATTAAAAGGGGGCAAAGAAACTGGTAAAGCGCTTCGCCCTTTGCACATTTGCAGGGCCATTGAGCTCAACCACCTCCAAAGGCC